AATGGATCTCTGCCTCCCAAGTGATAGGATTAAAGGTGTGTGCTACCACTTCCTAACCTCTATGTTTAATATTATGGCTGTTCCTTTCTCTGACCCCCATATAAGTTTATTGGGGTGCACAATATATCAACCACATAGATCCCTGGAAGTGGAGTTATGAATGATTGTGAGCCACCATGTGGGTGCTGGGAATCAAACTTCAGTCCTCTGTGAGAACAGCAAGTACTCTTAACTGCTGATCCATCTCTCCAGCTCCCCTCAATGACATTTATTGTTGTTGTTTTGTTTTTGTTTTTGTTTTTTCCCTGAGACAGGGTTTCTCTGTAGTTTTGGTTCCTGTCCTGGAACTCACTCTGTAGACCAGGCTGGCTTCGAACTCACAGAGATCTGCCTGGCTCTGCCTCCTGAGTGCTGGGATTAAAGGCGTGTGCCACCGCCACCCAGTTTTTGTCTTTTTAATACAGGGTGTCTTTATGTTGTCCCAGCTTCCTGGAACTTGCTATGTATAGCAGGCTGGTCTCTGGAACTCACCAAGATTCTCCTGCCTCTGTCTCCCATGTGCAAGGGATTAAAGGCGTGTGCCACCAAAATGACATTCTTAACATGCATCTTAAGAGAATGAGGTACTCAGGCAGAAAGTGAGACCACAGAGCATGGGTGTGGACTTCTCAAGGAAGAGTCTCTCCTTTCTCTTTAGAAGTCATACACACCATCCTGGTGGGGTTTGAAGCTATTTCCCCCTAAGGCAGATATTCTCAACCTTCCTGATGCTAGGACCTTTTATTACAGTTTCTCATGTTGTAGTGATCCCCAACCACAAAATCATTTTCGTTGCTACTTCATAACTGTAATTTTGCAACTGTTATGAATCATAATGTAAGGATTTGTGTTTTCTGATGGTCTTAGGCAACCCTTGTGAAAGGGTTGTTTGACTGCCAAGGGGGTCGAGACCCACAGGTTGAAAACCGCTGCTCTAAGGGTTGCTATGGAACCTAAAGGAAGTCCACAGGGTGGGTCCTGAGTGGCATCTGGAGGATTACTATTGAGCATGGTAAAACTCAAGCTCTGAGGCATGCAGGATGTTGGGGCATCTTTACTGCAGAGGAAGTTAACTGTCTTGTCTGAGATTCCCAGAAGATATATAGGAGAATGAGATCCACTCATGGCCATACACACTGCAGCCCTACGCCTGGTTCCTGGCTATTAAGATAACGTGTCTTTATACAGAAGGAGTATTATCTCTGTGTTGGTCACCTTCACAGCAAATGCCAGCTGTGCTGGAGTTCTCAGCTGGGGAGAGGCATCATCAATGCTCGGGTGAGGGAGCTCCCTTCTTTTCTCGTGTCCTGATAATTTCCCCTTTCTATTCTGCCTCACAAAGAATCAACTTTCTCTTCTCACTTGGCCAGCAGTATTAGCAATAAATCCTCCAATGCAGTTTCAGAAACTGATGTGAATCCCAGGTGTATTTCACACAGCCCCTGCCAAGGCGGCTTGACCTCTGGTTCGGGTTGTCTCCTGCTTCCCCGGGCTTCCACTCAAAGGCCCAGTGTTGGAATCTGGTCTTCCAAATCCGTCAAAATCTCTTCTGGGTTTCCAGCTTTTGGGCTGTCTCTTCTAGAATCAAATAACCCCTCAGGGAAAATGGCTTGAAGAGCAGGCTGAGTGTGCAGGATTTGTTATTTTCTCTCTACTCACTGACCTCATCACACCTACCGCTACGTCACCACTGTGTTTCTGCAGAATGGAACCAATCTTGCCCCCTCTCTTCCCTCTCTTCCTTCCATTCTGGGCACTGAGCCTCCAGGATCCTTCTCCTCCTCCCCAGTGCTGTGATTACAACATCGACAACATGCTCAGCTTTATTTACTTATTTTAATGTGTGTTTTGGAGATGAAACCCAGTGAGTTTCACTTTAACAACTGAACTGTATCTCTAGTCCCCCCCCCCTCCCTTTTCCTTTTTGATTTTCTGAGACATCATGTATCCCTATGCTACCAGGCCCAGCTAAAGTGTAAAAACTACTACTGTTATTATATGTGGTGCCAAGGAGGGAATTGAGGGGTGTAGATGTAACCAACCTTCTTATTAAATAAGAAACACAGAACCAATGCAAAGAAGAAAGCCAAGAGGTCAGAGCTAAGAGCTAAAACCTTACCCTTCCTCCTGCAGTGGTCCTACCTCTCCGAACCAGAGCTACTTCCTGTGTTAAAGTCCTTATATAGAATTTCTGTTCTGCCTTCTCATTGGTTGTAAACCCAACCACAAGACCGCCTTGTCATGGCCTGTCTGTATAGACCTCCAGGTTTTCCATGATTGGTATTGAGATTAAAGGCACGTGTATCCAATAATGGCTGTATCCCTGAACACACAGAGACTTACCCAGCTCTGCCTACCAAGTGCTGGGATTACAAGTGTACGCCACCACTGCCCTGCTTTCCTATGGCTTGCTGATAGCTCTGACCCCGGGCAACTTTATTAACATACAAATAACATTTTAATACAAATAAAATATCACCATATTTCCCCTTTTCTAATAAAAGAAAAAAGGAAAAAGCTTATAACTAACATAAGAAAAACTATATACAAAAGTACAATAACTATATACAATATATACAAGTAATAAATACCTAAACAATGTCTAGTTCATTTGTATTTGACAAATTCAGAGAAAATAATTCCATTATCTATCCTATTGTATCTAATTCATTTTCTATCCTAATTAATCTTCAACTATAACTAACTAATCTTCAACTCCCTCAGAGACCCAAGAAGGAAATAATATTAGCTAACAAAAATAAAAACAGGAAGTACATGCAAGCAACTTCCAAAAAATTGTGAGTTGACAGAAACAACCAGCTGCCTGGACAGTCATCTGAGGTTTCTCCGCAGTGTTGGGGCATCATCTTCAGTCTATAGCATCCAAGTATTTTGTTCATTCTCTTCATCAGGTAGCTACTGTATGGCTACCGGATAAATTAAGGGTGATTGTGTGAAAACTGGCTTTCTTTCTGTAACCTTATGATCCAATTTTGAAACAACTTCACTGTTAATTTCTTCTGTCTGAATTTGAATTTCTCTATAATTCATTTTTACAGGTTTAACAAGTTTTTCTAAGACTGTTATCCTGGCACTTAAATTGACTATCTTTTTGAATAGTAAAATGAGGATAAGAAAAGTAATGAACTGAATAATTCGATCAATATTAATCTTTTCATATAGTTGTTCCATTGTCAGAGTGCCTAAAATTTCAAACAAAGCCCGATTTTCTTCCAATGTACACATAAAGTCCATTTTTTTAATGTAGAAAAAAAATCTCTTTTAAATAAATGTTAATTGACTTACCAAGTCTGGGTAGAACAGTAGACTCCGAGGGAATTTCTAAACAGCCACCTGGTGTTTGAGGTGTGAATCCAGAGAGAGAGAGAGAAAGAGAGAGAGAGAGAGAGAGAGAAGAGAGCAAGAAAGCGTAATCGCTTGAGCCGAGTCAAGCCTTGACTTTACAGGCAGGGGCCCTGTTCGGCAGGGCAGACCTGAGTTGTTTGTAGCAGTTGCAAGTAGCTCCAGCTGCGGGTCAGTCAGGCTTGGGCCCGAGCTAGGGAGCCGGGCCACCCAGGCCGGAAACTAGACTTGCCGCCAAGCCAAGCCAAGCGGTTTTTAACAGATTCTTGTCACGTTGGGCGCCAAATGTAGATGTAACCAACCTTCTTATTAAATAAGAAACACAGAGCCAATGCAAAGAAGAAAGCCAAGAGGTCAGAGCTAAGAGCTAAAACCTTACCCTTCCTCCTGCAGTGGTCCTACCTCTCCGAACCAGAGCTACTTTCTGTGTTAAAGTCTTTATATAGAGTTCCTGTTCTGCCTTCTCATTGGTTGTAAACCCAACCACATGACCGCCTCGTCATGGCCTGTCTGTATAGACCTCCAGGTTTTCCATGATTGGTATTGAGATTAAAGGCACGTGTATCCAATAATGGCTGTATCCCTGAACACACAGAGACTTACCCAGCTCTGCCTACCAAGTGCTGGGATTACAAGTGTACGCCACCACTGCCCTGCTTTCCTATGGCTTGCTGATAACTCTGACCCCGGGCAACTTTATTTATTAACATACAAATAACATTTTAATACAAATAAAGTATCACCATAGAGGGGATTGGCAAGGGCTTCAGCTTTGATTATATCACCACCACCCTCTTTTCTTTTGAGACAAGCGTCTCACTATGTAGCCTTGGTTGGCCGGGAACTCATTACGTAGACCAGGCTGGCATCATAGTAATAGAGATCCACTTGCCTCTGCCTCCTGAATGCTGGGATTAAAGGCCAGCTATCCCTGGCCCTTTAGATTACACCTTCACTGTGTGTGTGTGTGTGTGTGTGTGTGTGTGTGTGTGTGTGTGTGTGTGTGTGTGTTTGGAGGTCAGAAGACAACTGGTGGGAGTTGGCTTTCCTTCAGCCATATGGGTCCTGGGCATCAGACTAAGGATATCAAGCTTTACAACAAGCACTTTTACCATCTGAACCATCTCACTGGCCCTATTTTGGTTTTTGGAGAGAGGATATCATGTATCCCAGGTCCATAATTCATTACACAGCCCAGGATGACCCTGAGTTTCTGATCCTCCTGCTTCCCATCTCTTCCGTGCTGGGATTATAGGCATACTTCCCGACAACAGGGTCTCATATAATTTAGTCTGGCTTCGAACTCTCTACGTAGACGAAGATGGCCTTGAACTCCTAATCCTCCTGCTTCAACTTCCCTAGGGCTGGGACTACAGGCGTGCGCCTCCAAGCCTGGTTGTCCTCAGATTTACAAGCTTTACCAATGCTGGAATTCTCAGAGCTGCATTCCACCTGCCCCGCCCAGCATCAGAGGCCTGAATCCCGCCGCACGTGCCCACGCCACCAGGAGTTGCCTCGGCAACTGCCCGCTCCCTCAGCTCCGAAAGATGACGCCAGTATCCTGCGCCGGCCTTGCTCCCTCCCGTGCGGCGGCCATTGGCTGGCTGGAAGACGGACGCGGGTTCCGTCCAATGAACAGCGCCGCTCTTCTGAGGGCGGGGCGGCGCGGAACCTGCAGAGCTGGTGGTGGAGGCGCGTGGCCGAGGCGTGCGAGAGTGGGCGCTGCAGGTGCGTGGTCGGCGGGTGCCAGGGGGTGGTCGGAGCCTCTGGGGAGACGTCGCCCTGGACCCGGCCGTGCATATATGCCCGGCCCTCCACGTGGGTCCCTATAGATCCGTCCAGTCACCCACCTACCTCTTTACCCCTGTGGATGCACCCGTTCGCCTACCCCTCCACCTACTTATCCATCCATCCATCCCTCTACCCACTTACTCCATCTACCCACTCACCCATTCATCCACCTCCTTCATCCCCCCACTCACCATGTATCCATGCACCTAGCAGTTCTTCCATTCATCCATCCTTACAAGTTGGGTGTGGTGGTGTACAGCCGTAATCTCAGCCTCCAGGAGGCTGAGACAGGAGAATTGCTACCAGCTCCTGTCCAACCTTGTCTACTAAATGAGACTCTATTTCAAAAAAGCAAAAAGAGTCTTCGGGTTTCTTTTATGTGTTGGCGTCACTCAAGGCTTTGGGACATAACAGAGGACAGAGTAGGAATCCTAGATGTATGAGGCCGGGTTCTAGACTGGAGAAGATCACGTGTTAGTGGTCTTGGGTACCATGGAGACAACTTCAGGGAGTCTGTTCCCTTCCTTGACCTTGCTGAGGCATAGTCTTTCTGGTTTCTGCTGCCCAGTGTGTGCCCGTCTCTACCTCCCATCTCACCGTAGGCAAGGTGAGATGACAGATGCACACCACTGCATCCAGAGTTTTATGTAGGCCCTAGGAATCGAACTCAGGTCGTCAGGCTTATGCGGCAAGTGCTTTTACCCACTGTGTCTTCTCCCGGCTTCTTGTATTAGTTGCTGCATGAAGCAGCGTCTCTGGTTTCTATTTCCTAAATGAATGGTGAAGTTTGGCATCTTCTCATGTTTTTTAGTGTCTGTTCAAGACCTTTGCCCATTCTAAAATTTGTGTGTGTCTGTGTCTGTATATGTGTATGCATGCATATGTATGTGTGCATGCGTGTATGTGTATGACTGTATAAGCATGTGTGTGTGCATGCCTGCATATGCTTATATGTGCGTTTGTACGCGCGCACGCGCACGTGTGTGTGTGTGTGTGTGTGTGTGTGTGTGTGTGTGCCAGAAGTCAACTTTAGATGGTATTCCCCAGAAGCCTTCCTTGTATTTTCATGACAGGGTCTCTCACTGGCTTGGAACTCACAAGTTAGGCTAGGCTGGGGTGGAACTCAGGTTGTCAGCCTCAGTGGCAAGTGCTTCTACCCACTGAACCATATTGCTGCCCCACCCACCAAATTTCTTTGATTGTGGAGTTTCAAGAGTTCTTAGGCTCTGCACACAGATTTCTCACTGGGCCTGTGATTGGTAGACATGCCCTCCAGGCTTTCAGTTGTCTTTACTTTTTTGCTAGCACTGTTCACTTGTTAGAAACTTAAAATTTGTTTTATTATTTTAATTTTTTAAAATTTTGCTTGTTTATTTATTTATTTATTTATTTATTTATTTATTTATTTATTTATTTATTTATTTATTTATTTATTTATTTATTTATTTATTTATTGTGTGTCTCTGAATATATGTATGTATACCGTGTGTGTAGGATCCCATGGAGCTCAGAGGAGGCATCAGATCTTCTGGAACTAGGGTTGTGAGCCACCACGTGGGTGCTTGGAACTGAACCCAGGTCCTCTTAACTGTCGAATCATCTCCTAGCCCCTTTATATTCTGTTTTTACTCATCTATCTGTCTGTCTGTCTATGTATTTATTCATTTATTTATTGGTTTTTTTGAGATGGGGTTTCTCTGTAGCTTTGGAGCCTGTCTATAGACCAGGCTGGCTTCGAACTCACAGAGATCCACCTGCCTCTGCCTCTCTAGTGCTGGGATCAAAGACATGTGCCACCACCACTGCTGCCGCCGCCCAGCCCCTATATTCTATTTGTTTCTTTGTTTTTTCGAGACAGGGTTTCTGTTTAGTTTTGGTGCCTGTCCTGGATCTTACTCTGTAGCCCAGGCTGGCCTCGAACTCATAGAGATCTCCCTGGCTCTGCCTCCCGAGTGCTGGGATTAAAGGCGTGCGCCACCACCGCCCGGCCCCTGTATTTTATTTTTAATTGTGTGTGTGTGTGTGTGTGTGTGTCCAGAGGTGTTGGATCTGGATCTAGCTAGAGTTACAGGCAATTGTAAGCTGTCTGATATTGGTGCTGGGGACTGAACTTGGGTTTTCTGCAAGAGCTCTTAACCACTGAGCCCTCTCCAACCCAAGGACAGAACTTTGTAGTTATGATGTAGTCCAGTTTGTTCTTCCTTTGGCTATCTAGTTGTTGGTATTTTATCTGAGAAACTGCAGTCTTCTCCAGGGTCATCCCTGGAAATTCTAACAATCTTAGGTCTGGTCCGTTAAAGTGGTGTATGCCTTTAATTCCAACTCTCAGGAGGCATAGGCAGAAGCAGAAGCAGTTGGATCTCTGTGAGTTCAGGGTCAGCCTGGTCTACATTGTGAGACCCTGTTTTAAAAAAAGAAAGGAAGGAAAGTGTATTAGGCTTGGGTTCTTTTGCCTGTGGGGTTTGGTCCATCCTGAGTTAGCTCTGTGTGTGGAGTGAGGCTCATACACACCTTTCCCGTGGCTCTCCAGCTGTTCTCTCGCTCTGCTGAGTAGATTGCTCTTTGAATTGTCTAAGCACCCTTGTTGAAAATCACTTGACCCCCGAACCAAAATCAGATGTTTTCTAGAACAAACACTCAGTGCCTCAATTGCGAGTTGCTCTCTCTTAGAGCCTTGTGGTGGAGAACCATCCTTTTCTTCTTCTTTTTCACAAATAGACTTCGTGATTAACTTTTTAATGCTAACTTCCAGGGTGACCGCAGACCTCGCTTCTCTCCTAAGCGGTGTGTAAATATTTGCTGAACTTTTCTTATTTCTCTAACGAGGTAATTGGCTGGTGTCACCACCCCTATTTTCAATGTCCCTGTGTCAACAGTCTCTCCTTTTACGATTTCTTATTATACTGTTAATTGAAATCTGTAGCCTCTGGCTTCAAATATTCTTTTTTTTTTTTTTTTAAGTGAGGAGGCTTAATTAAAAAGAAAATATAGAGCTTGGAATTTCCTGATTCTGGAATAGTAATATTCTTTCCATGTGCCATAGTCAGTGAGAGCCCCAGTCGGGACAGGGATGCCCTGATGCCCGCCTACCTGGGCTGCAGGTTCACACACATGCTCGAGGCCCTGCCTCACAGTTATATGACTGCAGATTTGTTTTCTGAGGGGTGTTCATGCCTGCTAGATCTCTCCCATTTTCCCCTCTATGCCTGTCCTCTGCCTTTTTCTTCTCTTTCTTTCCTTTTCTATTTTGTGCTAGGGATTGAACCTGGGACCTTTTGTATTAGCCACTGAGTTGAGCTCCAGCCCTATAGTTATCTTTTTTGCTGTTGTTACTGTTCTTGTATGTTCCAGGCCAACCTTGAGTGTCTTATGCTCTTCCTATTTCTGCCTCCTGAGTGCTGGGATTACAGACGTGTCCAGAGAGGCAGGTTCTTTCTGTGTAGTTTAGGCCGTCCTGAAACTTGTGACCTTCCTCCTGTCTCAGCCTCCCAGCTGCGATAACAGACCTGCGCCACCATCCCCGCCTTGCAAGTTGGTTTTATATTCATGTTTTTTTTCCTGCTGTGTGAGGAGATAGACCTTATGATTAGATTTGTCTCAGTGTCTCAAATCTAGCTTCATTCAGTCCTTCAGAATGGCTCGGAGCTCTTCACCAGCTTGGAGGAGAACACCCCAGGCCCCTCAGGGTCTTTCAGCCTCTCCACCCATGGATGTGGCATAATATTGGTCACAGCTTGTGTAGGGGTGTGTCTTAGCCTAGATTTGGAGAAAATGAAACTGTCCCCTAATATGTACTGGTTAAGCAATAGGCAGGTGTCTGAACCTGATGATGGTCAGTGAAGACGGTGGTGTTCTTAATCCTTTTCCTTCTCTCTCTCTCTCCCTCCCTCCCTCCCTCTCTCTCTCCCTCCCTCTCTCTCTCCCTCCCTCTCTCTTCCTTCCTTCCTTTCTTCCTGTTTTTCTTTTTTTGAGATAGGGGTCTATCTACATAGTACTGGCTGTTCTGAACTCCCTATGTAAACCAGGCTAGCCTAGAACTCCCCGAGATCCCCCTGCCTCTGCCTTCCAATTGTGCCTAGCTATTACTCTTAATCTCAAGAGCCAGTGTTGAGTTAGAAATACCACCTCAGGCTCTGTGGTCCAGGCCTGCCATCAGGGTGGAGGCTGTAGGGTCATACGTTCAAGCCCTGCCTGGGCTGGAGAGTGAGCTCAAGAGGCCAGCCTGAGTCCTTTAGTAAAACCCTGTTTCAAAATCAAAGGAAAAAAAAGTTAGCTATCCAGGTGGTGTAATCTGTGGAGTCATATCGGGTTAAAGGGGAACTCCTGGAAGACAGTGGAGTGGCCATGATGAGCCACAGTGGCAAGCATGTGCTTTGACCTTCTTTTAACTTTTATGTGTTTCTTATTTTATATGCGTGTGTGTGTTCATGTGTGTATGCACATGTGTATATACAAGTTGTGTGTTCATGTGTGTATGTGCATGTGAGCATGTGTATTTGCAGGCGATAGGACCATCAGGCATCTTTATCGCTCTCAGTCTTTTTTTTTTTTTTTTTTTTTTTTTTTTTTGGTTTTTCGAGACAGGGTTTCTCTGTGTAGCTTTGTGCCTTTCCTGGAACTCACTTGGTAGCCCAGGCTGGCCTCGAACTCACAGAGATCCGCCTGGCTCTGCCTCCCGAGTGCTGGGATTAAGGGCATGCGCCACCACTGCCCAGCTCTCCATCTTATGTTTGGAGACACAGTCTCTCACTAAGCCTGGAGCTCCCCAGTTCTGTTAGGCTGGCTAGCCAGCAAGCCTGAGGGATCCTTCGCGGTGCTGGCTTTGCAGGTGAACACCGCTAGGCCTGACTTTTTTTTCTCCTTGTGTATTCTGGGGCTCAAGCTTAAGTCCTCAGGGCTGTCCAGGAAGTACTTTCTCAGCAGCCGTGGCCCTGGTTAGCGTGCTTTATTTAAGCCTCCTTTTATGTTATGATGGGGAAGTGTCCCAAGTGTCCCCTCCACTCCATCTAACGGCACAGCACTCTGCAGCACCAGGCCTCTTCCTTCCTGCCGTTGACCGGCCTGTGTCGTCTCTTCCAGGATGGTAAAACATAAGAGAAAAGGTCCCGAAGGGGCAGAGAAGAAGGGCAAAAAGCAAAAGATAACACCAGCAGAAGAGACGCTGCGGACATCTGAGGCCAGGCCAGGCCAGGAGGCGGCGGCCAGCCCCAAGGTAAATGACTCTGGGTGGAGCAGCCACACACGGGCGTGCTTGGTGCTCCCTGGAGCAGTTATGAGACGGGAACTTGGTTGCTGCGTGGGTGCCCGTGTTTACTGTGGACTCTGAGGGACCAGCCTGGCCAGGCGAAAGGTCTGGGAGAGCGGGGCCTCCTGGTTGTACTCCAGGAACGTCTCTCCTTGATGTGTGTGTAGGGTGTGGTCCAGGTACTTATGTCTAAAACCTCAAGTCTAGGCGCCAGGCCATGGCTCAGTGGTAGAGCACTTGCCTAGCATGTGGGAGACCCCGCCTTTTACCCCAGCACCAGAAAACAAACAGAATCCTTCATGTTTTATGAGGAAAAAAATTAATCATGTCTATTTACTCATGTGTAGACTCTTGCACCTCAGGGTGCCTGTCTGGAGGTTGAAAGACAACTTTTGAGGAGTCAGTTCTCTCCTTCCACAGTGTGGGTCCCAAGAGTCGAACTCAGCTTAGCCTTGGTGGTGATTACCTCTACCCGCTGAGCCATCTTACTGGCCCGAGCAGTTGATTTTAATACTCACCGAGAGAGGGTATGAGCCATGCCAAATGTTGTGTGGGTTCGTTTTTCACCCTGTAACATGTATCTGCCATGTGCATGCAGATACATTGAATTGTAATTTTTTTACATTTACTTATGTATTCATGTGTTGCCCCTTCATGGTGCTTGTGTTAAGATCAGAGGACAACTTTGGAATTCAGCTGTCTCCTTCCACCAACATGGGGTTGAACTCAGGTCGTCATTGGCAGCAAGCTCCTTTACCTACTAAGCTATATTGCTGGCCACAGATACATTTAAATTTTAGTATTTCAAATCTTTTTCTTACCTGCAAAGTTCTGGGTATTAAACTCTGTCATTGACAGTAATTTACCTTTAAAATAGGTGCTTACTGCCCTCCAGACTCGCTTTGTCAGTTAACACGAAATAAACGCTGGTCAGACGCACATGGCATGGCGTGGCTGGGCTTCGCGGGACTTTGTTCTCTCGTTATGTAGCTCAGGAAGGCCTCAAATTTGCGATCCCATTGCCTCTGCCTCCTGAGTGCTGGGATTCTAGGTGTCCTGACAAGAAGTTTTCTATTCCACCGTGCTGGGGGTGGAACTCGGGCTTTCCCATGCTAAGCAGCAGCTCAACCGCACAGCCCCACCTCGGACTCCCAACCCTTCCTCCTCCCATAGCCCACACACTTGCAGGGAACCTGATGTTTGTGAGGGACTGGCTGCCTCAGCATTGTGCTTTGTTTCTCTCTCTCTCTCTCTCTCTCTCTCTCTCTCTCTCTCTCTCTCTCTCTCTTTCTCTCTCTTTGTGAAGAAAGCAGGAAGCGATCTGGGCGTGTTTTCTAGTCTTTCTTATGCTACGTCTTGGTCTGATTCAGAGCTGTGAGTTCCCAGGAGAGCTGTAGGCTGGTGTTTGCTTTCCTGGTGGCTACAGGTGTCGGGAGGTGGAGCTCTGGGCTGTTCCATGGGTCTTTGGAGGAGGCCCAGGTGCACTGGCCTGCCTATGGCAGTGACGTTCTGGTGGCCTGGCCAACAGGTTGTCAGCCACATTACTGCTGAAAGGAAATGAGAGTCTAGGGTGTGGTCCTCAGCTGGCAGGCGCTGTGGCCACTGTGACTTAGGACTGTAGCTTGGGGACTAGGTCCTTAGATCTCCTCCTCATGTTTCTGGAAGACAGTCTTGCATACAGAATGAGGCCTTTCTCTGCCTAAGAATGCTGATCTTTGTGGATAAAAACATTTCTTCAGCTCTCATGGGAAATTGTCAGAAGGATGTGTCGGGCATATTTTTTTAAAGATAAAATAGGGAGAGCTGAAGCTAAGCATTCAAGAAGGATGGGCCGCAAGGCCTGCAGCTTGGCAGTCCCATCACCCAGGAACTCATGGAAAAGTACTGTGCTGGTCCAGTTCTGTCCCCCAGCGGCTCCAAATGAACCTCTGGACTCAGGAAAGGAAGAAGCCCCTGTCCCTACTTGGGCCACTCCATTCTCCTCCCAGAAGTGTCCATGTGGGGAGCTCCCAGGGCCTGCACAGCCACTTCCCACAGCTCAGTGCTCTGTGCCTGAGCCAGAACCGCCCAAGTGTCCCCAAGTGCTGGGAACTTCATTGCCCCTTGGGGAGCGGTTTCCATGGAGCTCAAGTTCCACTTGGGGCTCTGGGCCCTGTGGAGCTGCTGCCTGCTTGGGCCATGGCCCACTGGGTCCTGGTGCCGAGACTTGGAGTGTGTGGGCACCTTGCCCCAGCCCCTGCTTGCGACCTGCCCTGACCCTGAGGCCCTGTAGAAGTGGCAGGGTGTGTGTGTATGTGTGTGTGTGTGATGCCTCTGCCTAGGGATAGAGTTCAAACACCCTCCTGGGCATCTCAGGATGCGTTCCTACTGCTTCTTGAGTGCTGGTTTGAGGAGGACTCTGGTCCTGTTGCCTCCCTCTTCCTGGATTCCCACAGGCAGCAGACTTGTGGGCCTTGGTGGGAGCTGGAGTTCACAGCAATTCCCTACACTTAACGATGCCCTCGACCGCAGGCGTCTTGTCCTTGTCTGCTGTGGGAAGTGCTTCCTGGAGCCTAAACCCCAGTCTCTGCCTTAGTCCTTCCCGACAGACTTCTTACAGCGGAGAGCTGCAGATGAAGCTGTGGGTAGCACTTGTACTCGGGAGGGCTTGGCTGGATCCCAGGTTGGGCCACACCAACCTGCCTGGCAGCCATTTGAGCCGGGACAAGCCAGGAGGTGGCTGTGTCTTGGAAGATGCCACCTTCCCTCCCTGCCATCACACTGTGAACACCGGTGAAGGCTCGTGGCGGTAGCTCGGATGTGGAGACCAGACTGTCCCCCACCAGGACTGGTCAGGCTCGATGCATAGTGACCAGTCACTGGAGAAAAGAACAGAGCCTACTTTACCATTTATTTGTTTGCTTGTTTATCTATCTCTCTGTTTATTGATTTTTGAGAGTATGCTGCAGCGAGGGCAGGGGAGATGGTAAAGTATTTGCTGTGCAGGCATGCGCGTTTACCATCTGGGGAGTCTTGGCTGAGTTTGCTTACCCTGCCCATCAAAGACTTAAAGTCGGGAAAAGCCTTAGACACAGCAGTGAGCACAGGTAGTGAACTTCGTTACAGGTGATGGAGACGGAACTCAGGTGCACACACACCACACAGAATGTGTGTACAGCTGACCAGCCAGTGGCAGCCGGGTCTCCGGGGCACCTGTCTTCTTATCCATGGTGGGCCTGCCAGGTAGGGCTCAGGCTGTGTGGAAGCCACCAGAGCTGCTGGCTTTGTCGCTGGGCTGTGGCCCTTTAGAAAGTCATGTGCATCATGTGGGCACGCAGCCTGTGGTTGCTTAGGAAGCCATCCAGAAGGACTTGGGAACTTTATGGCCTGGAAACTGCCCAAACCCTTCATGGCCATGGTAAGACAGTGGCTGTCCGGTCTGGGTTCTGTGGCTGGACACTCAGCTGTGGGGTGAGTGGTGCTAGCCTTCATAACAGTGCCTGGGAGCCACACCACTTGTCTTAGGGGAGTGACTAGACAGTGGCCAGGAGCCGAATCGCATTGCTAGCCTTTGGACTAATGTGACTTAGAGTCTGAGTCATCCTCACTCCCCACACCAGACTGCGAGGGTTCCTCGGGCCGTTTGCTGTGGGAGGTCTTGTCTCCCTGCTCCGCTCCCTGGCCGCACCGTCCTCTGTAGGTGTTCTGTCCTCAGTGGCTCGGGCGCCTGCTCTGCAGGGTCGGTCTGCACGTTTGTTTACACATGCACCAGGTTGGATCTTTGACCCATTCCTAGCTGGGGTCTGGGGAACATGCTGTGGGCGTCACCGTGAGTCTCCCTGCACTTCATCTCCAGGAGATCCCAGCACTAGGCTTGTTGCGTCATGTTGTGGGAACCCATGAGAGAGTAACAGTGCCACAGTGTGCCCAGCAGGGGGAGTGGGTCTCTGAGTGGCAGCCCCTCCTGTGGGTATGCCCTTATCTTACTACCTGACTGTTTATTTTGTTGTTGATTCCGACAGTCTCTTGTGTTAGCCTCCCAGTTGCTGGGATTACAGGCTCGAGCCATCTTGGTTGGCTATGAATGTGGCTGTTGATGCTCAGTTGAGAAGCACAGGTCTATTTAAAGGACACGGTTTGGCTTGGGTTACAGAATACTTGCTTAGTGTACACAAAGCCCTGGGTTCCATCCCCATCATGGCATAAACCAACGGTGGTGCAAGCCTGTAATCCTAGCAGCACTCAGGAGGTAGAGGCAGGGGAATCAGAAAATCAAGGCTATCCTTGGCTATATAGCAAGCTAGAGGCCACCCTGGATTACATGAGACCCCATCTCAAGGGAGAGTCTGTCTCCATGAGTGAGCCCCCTGATAATCCAGTTAGAGTTATAGTCCAAGTGATTATCCATAAACACATGTGAGCAACACTAAGTGGACTGACCCAGCAGGATGTATTTATGTATACATATATGTGTATCTGTGTGGCAGTCATAAAGAAAAAGGTCATGAGGTTGGGGGGGGGGAACCTGGAGTCAGGAATGCATTGAGTGGATGTAAGTATAATTCTGAGAAAATAATAACAAATGGTAAAAATAAAAGCAAATAAAAACCAAGCTATAAGAACATAGGTTTGAGCCGGGCGGTGGTGGCGCACGCCTTTAATCCCAGCACTCGGGAGGCAGAGGCAGGAGGATCTCTGTGAGTTCGAGGCTAGCCTGGTCTACAGAGTGAGTTCCAAGAAAGCTACACAGAGAAACCCTGTCTTGAAAAAAAAACAAAAAACAAAACAAAACAAACAAACAAAAGAATATAGGTTTGCACGAGTACACATACACACACACACGTGTACACACACACACACACACACACACACACACACACACACACACACACACTCATACAAAAACCAACCCCAAAATAGAAAATTCCAAAGAAGGGAAAAAAAAAACAAAAACCAAGAAATCCAAAACTGTTAACAGCAACAACAAA